CATTATTATCTGGCATAGAGCTTTGATCTCTTCTTTATGAGTAGTGGGGGATTCCTATGGCAATACTCAGGGCAAGGATAAAAAGAAAGAGGAAGCGTAATGGCTTCATGACCAGTGGGGCTTGATTTTTCAACCTGAGAATATTTGTATTTAGTCAGAAAAGGTTTTGCTTGTTTTTGGTTTGTGCAGTTATTATCACATGGCTCTGGGCTGCTAAAAGGATAATTTGGGGGGAAATGGGAGGAGGTAAAATCAGTCTTTATTGAACTTATCATTTATTACCTGGTGATCTTATGAAGAACTAGTCAGGATGGGCAGGGATTTCTGTCCTGTTCATTCATGGATATATCCTAATGCCTAAAAGAGTGTCTGGAACATAGGAACTCAACAAGTATTTGTTGAATAAACTTCCATTCTGGTAGAATTGAAACCAGATCATTTTCATTAAGCAGTTAAAGAATGAAGCAGCTGCATAGACCACTCATTTGAAAAAGTCAGCTATAGAGAGCCAAGAGGGGAAGTTGTTAAATACATATAAAGAAGTGCTTTGTGAACTTTAACATGCATATGTAACACTTGATTCAATAGGCCCTAAGGATGGGACCTGTGATTCTGCACTTCCAACAAGTTACCAAGTGAAGCCAATTCTGCTGATCCTCAGAGTCACTCTGAGCAAAGCTAATCAAAGATGCTGCTCAATGAGCATCCACTGTGTGGATAGCATATGTAAGATTTATTAAAAATATTTCCTTGCTCTGTTTTATAAGGTTTATTGATTTCTGATTACCAGGCTAAATGGATGCTCCAATCCAGATCTGATTGGACCATCTCTTTCTTGAAATTCTATCTTGGCTTTAAGGACATTACAATGATTATCCACTGTCTCTTCAGCTCTTCCCTCTCAGGCTTCTTTCTGGTTCCTCTTCCTCCTATCCCATAAATGTTCCTGTTTCCCAGGTTTCTGTCTCCATCCCTCTTCTGTTTGTATTTAGTGGAAATCCTTTGTTATCTCTAATTCTAGTTTATTCTTTTGGAGTTTGTAGGTATACAATTGTGTCTAAAAATATTTCTAGTTTTTCTAAGGATTTTTATGTATTTATTTGGGAGATCAAGAGAGTAGAGGGAAGGGGAGAGGGAGAAAGAATCTCAAGCAGATTCTGTATTGAGTGTGGAGCTCAACTCGGGGCTAAATCTCACAACCCTGAGCTGAAATCAAGAGTCAGACACTTAACTGACTGAACCACCCAGGCGCCCCTCTAGTTTTTCTTTCCAAATAGATTTTTGTTGTTTTTTTATTACTGTTGTTTTAAATTTTTATTTTTTTAGTTCAAATATTAACAGTGTTATATTAGTTTCAGGTGTACAATAGAATTCAACAATTCTATACATTACTCAGTGCTTATCATGAGAAGTGCTCTTTTTTTTTTTTTAAAGTTTTTTTTTTTTTTTTATTTATGATAGTCACAGAGAGAGAGAGAGAGAGAGAGAGAGAGGCGCAGAGACACAGGCAGAGGGAGAAGCAGGCTCCATGCACCGAGAGCCCGACGTGGGATTCGATCCTGGGTCTCCAGGATCGCGCCCTGGGCCAAAGGCAGGCGCCAAACCGCTGCGCCACCAGGGATCCCGAGAAGTGCTCTTAATCCCTTTCACCTGTTTAAACCATCCTTCTCTTCTTTCCAAATAGTTATGCCCTATTTGTTATGATAGGATTTTTAATACAATATTATATATTAACATTTATTTTAAAACATTTAAAAAACATTTTTTTAATTTTATGAGGAATGACTAAAATACAGTCATTTTCCTTGTAACATAATGTTGGTCCTTGGTTTTAGACAATCTTCATTTTAAAAATTGAGATCTAGGTACGCCTGGGTGGCTTAGCAGTTGAGCCTCTGCCTTTGGCTCAGGGCGTGATCCCACCATCAGGGGATCAAGTCCTGCATCGGGCTCCCCTTGGCGAGCCTGCTTCTCCCTCTGCCTGTGTCTCTGCCTCTCTCTCTCTCATGAATAAATAAAATCTTTAAAAAAAACGAGATGTAGGTACACCTGCTGGCTCAGTCCATGGAGCATGTGGCTTTTGATCTTGGGATTATGAGTTTGAGCCCTATGTTGGGGCTCAAATAAAAATAAAATCTACTAAAAAACTACATCTAATCTATATAAAATTCACCATTTAAAAGTGTACAACTCAGTGTTTTTATGTATGAATATATATTATATATATATTATGTCCTAATGCATGTTAAGCACATAGTAAATGACAGAATGTTTAACAACAAATATTTGTAAACACTTGAGTCATCCAACAGTGGAATGGGATCCCTTCTAGATAATAAAGAAATGTTAAGCTTCAGTTGGGTACCCCCTTTCAGTGATGTTCTAAAAGATGTTCCTGATTTGATGGGAAATAAATGAACTCTGAGGTCTCTCTTTTAACACTAAAAATCTGTGGGACCGTTACTGATTTGAATAATCCTACATAGTATCACTGCCTGGAGCAATAGCAAGGAAATGGAATAAAAGTACCCTTCTTGGGATCCCTGGGTGGCGCAGCGGTTTGGCGCCTGCCTTTGGCCCAGGGCGCGATCCTGGAGACCCGGGATCGAATCCCACGTCGGGCTCCTGGTGCATGGAGCCTGCTTCTCCCTCTGCCTGTGTCTCTGCCTCTCTCTCTCTCTCTCTCTCTCTCTCTCTCTCTCTGTGCGACTATCATAAATAAATAAAAATTAAAAAAAAAGTACCCTTCTTTTTTAAGATTTATTTACTTAGGGTGGCTCAGTTGTTTAAGTGTCTGCTTTTAGCTCAGGTCATGATCCCGGGGTCCTGGAATCGAGGCCATATCTCTCAAATTTGAGAGAATGAGAGAGGGCGCATGAGTGGGGGGAGGGGCAGAGGGAGAGAATCTTTGAGCAGACTCCCTGTCATTGAGCGAGGAGCCCAATGAGGGGCTGGATCTCAGGACCCATGAGATCATGACCTGAACTGAAGCTGGACGCTCAAATCAAGAGCCAGATGTTTAACTGACTGAGCAACTCAGGTACGCCATAAAGGGACTCTTTAAAAAAAAAGATTGATTCTACAGAGAGAGCATGAGTGGCAGGGAGGTGAAGAGGGAGAGGGACAAGCAGACTCTGTGTGAGGGCAGAGCCTGACACAGCACTCTATCCCATGGCCCTGAGATCAAGACCTGAGCAGAAATCAAGAGTTGGAGGCTTGGGATGCCTGGGTGGCTCAGCAGTTGGGCATCTGCCTTTGGCCCAGGGTGTGATCCTGGAGTCCCAGGATGGAGTCCCACATCGGTCTCCCTGTATGGAGCCTGCTTCTCCCTCTGCCTATGTCTCTGCCTTTCTGTGTGTCTCTCATGAATAAAATCTTTAAAAAAAAAAAAGAGTTGGAGGCTTAACCGAGTCCTCCAGGCACCCCAATGTTTGATGAAAGTTAATAGTGCATAGGAGAAGCAATGTTCATAGAATAGGCAATGGAAACAATAGTTTTCAATTACTTACATTATAGCTTCTGGGATCTCTTTACCCTCCCACCTCCAGAAGCCTGTACCCATCAGGGAGGGAGATGGTAAAGTTAGGACTCTGTCAGGACATAGTGGTTGGAAGGGTGGGGGTTACAGTGACAAAGTCAAGAAAAAGTGAGATTCAGGAGCTGTGAGAAGAGCAGAAAGCAAAGGACCATGGGCCCCACTGGCATCTGAACTAACTTTTTCACCTGACTTTATACTTTTTGGTATCCCCTATGTCTCACAGATAGACCACTAAGTGATTATCAAAAGTATTTATTAGACATTTATACTTTGAATTCTCCATTTCCAACTATTCCTTTCATTAATTTTTGCCAAAGAAATCGATGCCATCCATCGTCAGCTTTACTTGTCTTCAAAGTTCATCAGCGCCTGCACTGTAAAGAAATGGGAAGCTAAGAATATTCAGGACATACAAATGTTTGAAGATCTGGCTTTTCTGGGTTCTAGGTTCCCACCCAAATTTTTACTAACCTTTACTTTCAGTAAGCCCTCTAAATTAACCCAGATTAAAGAAGCTCCCTTGCTCCTTCTTTCACCCTCTTTCTACCCAGAGAACAAGTGGGAAGACAGGGCTGAGGACAACTGGAAAGAGCAGGATTAACCTTAGGCAACATTTTGAAGTAGGCAAAGCCTGTCTGTGACATTCTGCTCTAAATTTTGTGTTCCACTGTTAATAATTCCTCTGATTGCCCTCCTGAGCCTACACATTCCTTTTCCCTCGTTGTTTTCACAGTGAGCTGATTTCAATTAGGTATGAGGAAACAACACTAATCCCTATTAAATTATAAAAAATCAGGACGCCTGGGTGGTTCAGCAGTTTAGCACCTGCCTTCAGCTCAGGGCATGATGCTGGAGTCTCGGGATCGAGTCCCACTCTAGGGCTCCCTGCATGGAGCCTGCTTCTCCCTCTGCCTATGTCTCTGCCTCTCTGTGTGTCTCTCATGAATAAATAAATAAGACCTTTAAAAAAATTATAAAAAATGGCCCCTGTTCCAGTTTTTGTATTTTTAGAGGGAGAATTTATTAACCCAAATTCACCTCCAAGTGGTAAAATTTCAAAAGAGAAATTTAGGGGAAATAATTTTGGGCAGGTAGTTTTCCACTTAAATTAACTCTATTTAAATAATGTACATTCTTTCTGCCTAGGCTACCACTAGAAGGGGCTGAAAGGAAGAAAGGGCTATAATTCATAAATTTCTTTGGGGGCTGGGAGCAGTGGGCATTTACGAGCTCTCTGCTCACTATATAATCCCCATTGCTATTCAACTTGAGGCTGAGGCTTGAGCCTCATCTGCAATTGGACACTTTCTTCTTGGAAAACAAGCTCTCAGACCTCTTAGGATTTAGATTTTCCCTACTGGAAAAACAAAGCTGTCAGGTTCTCTCTAGATTATAAGAAATCAGGACATTAAAATGTAACATTAAAAACCAAAGAATTACCTTTTTTAAATGTGAGGTGGAAATTCAGAGGCTGAAATACCAAAATAGTGGATACTTGCCTCCTTCTCCCCAGTTATATATGCAATTCCAATATGCTACTCCAAAGTACTTAGGCCTTGGTTCCCATGACTGCCTTAAATCCATACCTGCAAACTCCTGCAACTGCTTACGCTCCTCTAGGTTATACTGAAGCTTTTCTAGCAACTCAAAATATCGGAAGAGTGAATCTCTAGGCCAAACAACTTGATCATCCTGATCCATTTGCATTAGTCCAGGCAGATTCTGGTGTACATGAGTCTCCCAGTCCAACTGACCTAAAGGGAGGAATGCTTCTTAAAAACATGTCTAGACCTGTGGAAGCTGGACAGAGCTAATAGATCCTATCGTGTGTGGAAAAAGCAGGGATGAAAGAGTAAACAGGAATCAGGGAGGGAAAAGGGTACATCACCAAGAGACCACTTTTTACAATAAGTAAAGATGGCCACACTTACCCAAAGTGAAGCAGAAGTACAAGGGAAATGAAAGAAAGCACAAAGTAAGCAATTAAGACCAGAAAATCATACTGGAGGAGAAAACTGGAAGTAGATAACAGTGGGAGAGCTCCTCTATTAAGATTGGGATGTCTCTCCTGGAGGAGTCCTAATTCAAATGAAAGAAACTCTGCTTACCAATGGGGTCTACATATCTGGAGTCAGAAGAAGAGGAATAGGATGAAGATGAGAAGTAAGAAGAGTGAGAGGAGGGGGAAGAGGAGGACTTTTTCATTTTTGACAAGGACGCTTTTGTTTTTGACACAGGTGCTCTTGAACCCTCTTCATCAGCATTGTGTTTAGACTCTTCTTCAAAATCTTTTGATAACTCCACAGATTCCCTTTGTTGATTGGCATTTCTATAAGTGAAAGGAGAAATTTTATTGCTTCAAATACATTCATGAGATAGGGCTAGTTCTTTCATTATGCAGGCCCTGGCCCTTGCCATCCCCTAAAACTGGGACTTAAGGTAATGAGGGCCAAACTACTCCCAAAATTTGAGCTTTTAAGCGCTTTCAACTTCAATGATCTCATGTGGTATATCCCTAATAGTGCCCCTCACCACATAGCTTCCATGTTCCATTTTACTCAGGCTTCAACATTTCACACTCTACCTTATTTTGCTAAGTTTTAGCTCTTCACTCTATAGCTCTATGCCTATTATACCATAACTATAGCTTCACTCCTTCAATTCTATCTCTTGAGAGGCCACAAGGCTCAGTTCATGACCTTTTTATCTTCCCCATCTATAGTCACTCCTTCGGTGATCTTTTCTCCTGAGTTTAAATGTCTTCTAAACGTAAATTTAAACCTCTAGCCTAGATTTTACTCCTCAATCCAGACTTGCATATACAACTTTTACTCACATATCACCACTTGAATGTCCGATATCTCAAATTTAACCCAAATCAAATTCTGCCCATCAAACCTCTTCCACCCATAGCCTTCCCCATCTTAGCTAACCCATCCTTTCAGCTACTCTGGCCAAAACTTCAGAGACATACTCAACTCTTCTCTTATACTCCAACCAATTCACCAAGAAAACCTACTGATTCTACCTTAAAAAACATCTTTTCTCACTGGTGCCACTCTGGTCTGAGCCTCTTGCCTCTTGTCTGGATAGCTTTAGCCTTCAACTCATCTCTCTGCTTTTTCCCTTGTTCTACAGTGCATCATCAACAAGGCAACCAGAATAATCCTTAAATGTAAGTCATTTCATGTCACTGCTCTACTCTGATCTCCATTTCACTCAGAGTAAAAGCTTAAGTCCCTACAGTGGCCCTCACAGCCCTACAGGATCAGGTCCTCATTATCTCTCTGACCTCATTTTCTATCACTTTTCCCCACTGATCACCCTGCTCTAGTCACAGTGGTTTCTTTGCTGTTTATCAAACTCAGGAATGCTTCTGGCTTAGGGTCTTTTACTAGCTGTTCCCTCTGCCCATAATACTCTTTCCGTAGATATCTAATGCAGTAATCCCCTTATTTCCTCCAAGTCTTCATTCAAATGTTACCTTTTCAATGAGGCCATCCAGACTACCTTGTTTAAAATTTATAATTCATCTGAAATTCCTACTCTATATTCCAAACCTCATTTTTTAAAAAGATTTTATTTATTCATGAGAGACACACATAGAGAGAGGTAGAGACATAGGCAGAGGGAGAAGCAGGCTCCATGCAGGTAGCCCTATGTGGGACTCGATCCCAGAACTCTAGGATCATGCCATGGGCTGAAGGCAGACTCTTAACCACTGAGCCACCCAGGCTTCCCTATTCCAAACCTTTTTAACCTATTCTACTTTTTTTCCTAATGCTCACCATGTTTTAATACATTAATTTACTTATTTTATATATTGTTTATTGTCTCTTTCCCCCTGCTGATATGTAAGCTCCATGAGAACAGGCATTATTGTCTCTTTTGTTCACTGATATAGCCCAACACCTAATGAGTATTCAATATTTATTTCTTGGGGTACCTGACTGGCTCAGTCAGTAGAGATTTGACTCTTGATCTCGGGGGGTCATGGGTTCAAGCCCCAAGTTGGGTACAGAGTTTGCTTAATAAAAAAAGTATATATAAGTAATAATAATTATTTTTTAAGCAGGATCCATGCCCAATGTAGGGCTCGAACTCATGACCCCATGATCAAGAGTCGCATGCTCTACCAACTGAGCCAGCCAGGTGCCCCTAAATAATTATTTCTCAATGGATGAATGAATTTCTTATTTCTTCTTCTGCTCTCTTGTTCACTGCTGAACACTCAAGGTCTAGAATGACATCTGCTTCATAGAAAGTACTTGTATTAGTTACCTAAGGCTGCTGTAACAAACTACCACAAACTTGGTAACTTGAAATATCAGAAACTTATTCTCTCACAATTCTGGAAGCCAGAAATCTGAAATTCAGGTGTCAACAAGGCCATACTTTCTCTGGAGGCTCTAAGGGAGAAGATTCTTTGCTCCCTCTAGCTTCTGGCAATTGCCTAGCATTCATTGGCTTCCTTTCGCTTGTGGTTGCATCATTGCAATTTCTATGTCCATCTTGACATCTCTTTCTTCTCTTCTCTATGTCTTCTCCTCTTCTATCTCTTATAAGAGCCTTTGTTGCTGCATTTAGAACCTCCCTGGATAATCCAGGATGATTGCATCTCAAGACCCTTAATTTAATTGCATCTGCAAAGACCCCTTTTCCAAATAAAGTCATTTTCACAGGTTCCAGGGGATTAGGTAGGACATGGACATTTCTTTTGGGGGGTCACAATTCAACCCCCTACAATAAATAGTTATTGAATAAATGGATTATCTATCAAAATCAATCTTCATCTTTGGTTTTCTACCCTCTCCTCCTTCATGTGTGTCCATATCAATTCACCAATTCCTAACCTGGCATCCACTTTGCTAAGGCTTGACCTCATTGCCTCAGGGGACAGGTTTTGTCTTCTGCAAAGCAAAAAAACACAGAAGAGAGTTACACTGATGCAGAAATGTGGTAAGGAAAAAATAATTCAGATCATAAAGTGAAGAAAACTGAGGAGAACACATTGCAGTAAAAGGTGAAAAAGAGTGAGGAAGACCTAATGGTGGATAAAGAATCAGGCAATTGGGGAATTCTAACCTTCGGCAAATCTTCTGTGGAAGGGAACGGGAAAATGCGGTCAAGGCCAAGGGGTAGAAACAGGGAATGAGGTTGGGATACCCTTCAGAACTAAACTTGGGTTTGAAAATGGGGCAGAGACCTCTGGATAATCTGCCGCTTGAATATGTCGGCTTTATGCTGAACCTCCAGATGTGTCATCTCCTCATTCAGCTCATTCCTGATATTCTGGAAGTTAGTAACTGCCCCAGAGGGCCATTAGGAGTTGGGAGATGGTGGTGACTAGACCTGGGAAGAGGGCTTGGGTGGGGAGAAACCAACTGAAATATCCATTCCAGGCCCCAAGCTTTCCTGCTACCTCAAATTCTCTCTATACATAATCTACCAATCCTAGCTTTCACCTTAATTTCTTCCCAGCCACCCCTCACAACCAAGCTTCACCTCTTTCGTGCTTACCCATCATGGCTACTATAATATTTCGAAAGATAATGGAACCAAGTAACAACCAAAGGATGACATAGATGCTGCTGAAGGCACGGCTGACTTCAGGCACCTTCCAGGTATCCTGAAGCAGTGCATACCAATGGTCCATGGTGAAGAGGATGAACACTGTCACTAGAGAATTCAGCAGGTCCCTAAATAAAAAGGATATGTGGGTACAGACAGAACAGAGATCTAAATCTTTCATAAACAGTACTTTCTTACTCTTAAAGCCACATAAGAACATTTCTTTGTAGTTTGCTCTGACTTTGGTTTCTTTTCTATCAATTTTTTAGTTAAGCATTCTTCAGTTTAGGTTTTTTTTTTTTTGGGTTTTCCTTTATCATGAATAATCCATAAATCTCTCACTCTTCCATTAGTGCCTGGAACATAGTAGGTGCTCAATAAGCAGTACTGGCTGAATTTTTAAAAATTGAATGAATCACCAACTATGTATCTTTTTTGTAAGTTCACTCTTCACTGTTCTATGGATTCACTGAACAGGAGATCACTTAAAAAATTAACAAACATCATTCCTATTTAGTTCCCTGGTATGAAGTGATTCTTAAGTAAATAAGATATAAACACGTGATCCCAAATAATGAATATGTCACCAAAGATCTCATCTAAATGAAGGTATCTAAATTTTCCTTCTTTCCTTCCTAGTCCTCCATATACAATTTGCTGAAAATATCAGGGCCTGAATAGGATGAATATTTAGGACTTTCCTAACTCAAAACTCTTACGAAGCTACCTGTTAGTCTGAGACCTAAGAGGTGCTGACAAGATTGGATTCCAGTTCACAAATAACATTATCTCATCTAAATCCAATTGACTTTCTACTAGCAATCAGTTTTCTCTAGACAAAGATCTTATCAGGATTTTATTTTTCAATGAGTCTAGGTATGTGCATGTGTAACCTCCACACATAGACTTTGGGGTAAAACCAGTGACCTGTTTGAGAGTCATAGTAACAAGTGTTGATCACTTACATTGTGTCAAAACCTGTGCTAAGTGCAAAAATGCATTACTTTTATTCTTACACTCTTATGAGATAGTGCTACTATATTTCCAGTTCTCAAAAGAAGTAACTGAGGCATAGAAACCAAAGCTTAATCACTGGGGTATACTGCTATTTAAAGATGGTTGATGAAGGGTTGTTTAAATTTCAAAACCCAAGGCAAACCTGGAACTAGCCACACTATCCTCAAAATCAGAGCTAATATCACTCACTATTCCTTTGCTTTCTCTTTCTTTCTCCTTATTGTGTTCTATTCCAGTTTCTTACAATAGACTACACTTTTTGTATTACTTACTTTGGACTAGCTTCCCAGTTTCTTGCCCAACTCTCTCCCTCCACCCATGATTTCCCCGGTCCTGCCTACGAGAAGAACATGTGGTACTCCAGGTCCTGGCGAGTTGAACGGGTGTAATCCTCAAAGAAGTAGACACCAGTCACAGCAAAAATGTAGAAGAAGATGAGCAGCAACATCAAGAGGAAGGTCATGCTCTAGAGGCCATGACCTCAAGTCAGAGCTGGGCCAGATTAGGCTGATTCTACCTATAGCAGAGTCAAGCCCAACCTGGCAATCCCCCACCAAAACCCTTACTTCCACTCCAGAGCCCAATTATCTCTAGACCATAGCAGCTTCCCCCATCCCTTTCTCATCCAATGACATTTCATAGGGTCCCTTGTTGCCTTCTTTGACCCACCCAGACTTGTTTTATGTTAAATTCCCATGTTTATTACCCTGCCCAGTTGGTTTAGCTGCAATAATCAAATCACCTTGAGAGCCCTCATGAGGGCCAAAATAATGACTCGAATTTGACGGAATCGTGCAAAGAGTTTGAGAGATCTTAGCACCCGGCAGATCCTCAGCAACTGGAGCCACACAGACTGGCCTGTTACCCCTACCAGTACCACAACTTCAGGAAGCAGGGACTGTGGGAAACACACAAATTATGAGTAAAATATACCCAAAGCACCCATGCACAGTTACCCCTTCTTTATCTCATCTTCCTCATAGTTTGTTGGGTATTATTCCTAGAATAGCATTCTCTGAGGACTATTTCCAATTGAGCCTTCCTATACTAAGTTACTTAAACTCTGTATTTCAATTTGCTCAAACATAAAATGGGGATAAACATAGTGCTTATCTCATTGGATTGTTGTGGAGCTCAAATGAGAAAAATACATGTGAAACACTTAGAAGAGTGCCTGGCACTTAGTAAGTGCCTAGTAACTGGTGGATTGTTGGGGTTAATGTTGTGGTTGCATTCAGTCTTGCTCCTACTACCAACAACTCCTACAATGACTGCTCTTAGTTTTAGAAAAAACATCAAGATAATGAAGTTCTTGTGATCTAATTAAATTTTCTTGTCATTATGATTCACCTAGGCTCATTCTTCAGCCCACTAAACTAATCCTCAGGATATCTATCCTTACCAATACAGTGACAACAAAATCAAAGACATTCCAGGCATTCTTCCAGAAGAGGAAAAAGCTGGATATCCACATAAGAAGGATCTCTAAGATGAAAATAAGCAAGATGAACCAAGCTGCCACCTCCAGTGTCAGTTTCAGAGACCACAGTTTGGTATTTGAGGATTCAAGCAGTTCTGTGAAAGTAGAGCAAAGAATGAAAAAAGGTTAAGGAATTGGGAAACTGAATGATATAAAATGATCAGAAGCTATTATAAACCATAGCTGTGCCTGCGGCTATTCCATTTTTCTTTGTTTCTCTTCTTAACATTGATATTTTTTCCAACCTGTGGAATACAGGGGAGGACAGAGTTGACCATGAAAAATAGCAACAACTTGTCTCCTGCTGGTATCAAAATGCCTAACAGCTGCAAGTCACTGTCTTCCCATTCTGGGGCCACACAGCCATGAAGGGATTGCTCTCTTCACTACCACTGATGCTGTCTGTTGTACTGGTACTCCAGTCCCAAACTTCACAGAGAAGCAATAAGCCTTGAGAATAGAATGACAATATAGGCCATGATATGTAAAGTGCTTGATAAGGGAACTAGAAACAAGAAGTCAGAATTATGAGACATACTGGGTTATAATAAAAAAATTATTTGGTTGTTAGTTTTTTTTTTTAAGATTTTATTTACTTATTCATAGAGACGCAGAGACACAGGCAGAGGGAGAAGCAGGCACCATGCAGAGAGCCTGAGGTGGGACTCGATCCAGGGTCTCCAAGATCACGCCCTGGGCCACAGGCGGCGCTAAACCGCTGCGCCACCCGGGCTGCCCTGTTAGTTTTTAAAACTTTCCCATTTTTCTCTAAAACTCATTTTGTCCTGCAAAGCAAATTAAATCCTATACATTCTCTCTAAAACCCTATTATTTGCTAATTGGTATTCCTCAACTTACTGCCTTCATCTTTCAACTCTCTTCATTTCTTTTATGCATTTAATGGATGTATACCATGCTGTAGAAAAAAACCCTGCTAAAATCAAAATAGGCTTAGAAGCTAATAATTTAATATGTTTCCCCTTGAAACACAACAATCTGAGAGCCTCTAAATGCACCATGACTGATATCCTCGGCAGTTAATGGAGATTGGAAGGACATCTCAATCACTCTGAACAACATAAACTACTATTGATTTTGACACTTATACAGTTTGAAATTGTAATTGTTTTTTGGCTGGTTATATCCATAATATTAAATTTAAAAATATAATATGAAAAAATAAAGAAAAACAAATAATATATAAAATATATTTGATCCCCACACCAAACAACATGTAATGTAATTTAAAAATTCATTTGTGGATAAATCATGTATTTTTTTTTAATGATGAGAGGGAGAAAAGAAGATTTGGCTCATTATATGCACAATGAAGTAAGGAACACTAATGCTATATAAAGTTTTTGATCAGATGAATGCAATTTATAGAATCTGATGAAGATCATCTTGAGATAAACTTGCAGAAATATTCTTATATATAGCACATCAAGATATCTCTAGAACCTCAAAATCAATGTAAAAAAATTATAGTGATGTTATACATAATTTTTTTTAAATAAGAACTATTCACACTTGCAATGTGTTATTTTCAGAAAATGGATTGCAAATGAGTCAAATCTTCTTTTCTTCCTCTCATCATTTGGAAACAAAATGTGAAAACTATAAAAGTAAGCCAAATTGATGTTTAAAATGAAAAGTAGAATTACCAATATCATTTGTTAATACCTTCACACATAAATTTCCACTTACATCTTAACATATATATTTAACATATAATACATAATATTATAAACCAGAAATTAATGTTGTGTCAGTTATATCTCAATTTTAAGAAAAGAACAAAAAATCAAATTAAAACCCTATAATATAGGAACACCTGAGTGGCTCAGCAGTTGAGCATCTGCCTTTGGCAGAGGATGTGATCCCGGGTCTGGGATCGAGGCCCACATCAGGCTCCCTGCATGGAGCCTGCTTCTCCCTCTGCCTATGTCTCTGCCTCTCTCTCTCTCTCTCTCTCTGTATCTCTCATGAATAAATAAATAAAATCTTTAAAAATATATATAATACATAAAGCACACATATTTGATCCCTGAGCCAAACAATATATGATGACCTTTAAAAATTCATTTGTGGGGATGCCTAAGTGGCTCAGTGGTTGAGCATCTGCCTTCAGCTCAGGGTGTGATCCTGGAATCCTGGGATTGAGTCCCACATTGGGCTCCCTGCATGGAGCCTGTTTCTCCCTCTGCCTATGTCTCTGCCTCTCTGTGTGTGTGTCTCTCATGAATAAATAAATAAAATCTTTATTTTTTTAAATTTTTTTAAAATTTTTTTTAAATTTTTATTTACTTATGATAGTCACAGAGAGAGAGAGAGAGAGAGGCAGAGACACAGGCAGAGGGAGAAGCAGGCTCCATGCACCGGGAGCCTGACGTGGGATTCGATCCCGGGTCTCCAGGATCGCGCCCTGGGCCAAATGCAGGCGCCAAACCGCTGTGCCACCCAGGGATCCCAAATAAAATCTTTAAAATAAATAAATAAATAAATAAATAAATAAATAAATAAATAAATAAATAAATAAAAAAAAAATTCATTTGTGGGCAAATCATATATTTACGTTAAAAACACCATGGGGGATCCCTGGTTGGCTCAGCGGTTTGGTGCCTGCCTTCGGCCCAAGGCATGATCCTGGAGACCTGGTATGGAGTCCCACATCGGGCTTCTTGCATGGAGCCTGCTTCTCCCTCTGCCTGTGTCTCTGCCTCTCTCTGTGTGTGTGTGTGTGTGTGTGTGTGTGTCTCATGAATAAATAAAATCTTTAAAAAAAATCATGAATCACTTTAAAATGGCATAAGTAAAAATGTGCTAACATAATTTTTAAATTTATATTATACACATTAAAATACAATATTTAAAAACATGCTAGTCTAAAATATTACTTTACTTCAACTTGTTTCTTTACATCATCATAAAAGTAGTGGAATGATTAAACTCTTAAGGAGGTTTTCAAGTTTATTTTACTTTTTTTTTTAAATTTTTATTTATTTATGATAGTCACACACAGAGAGAGAGAGAGAGAGAGAGAGAGGCAGAGACACAGGCAGAGGGAGAAGCAGGCTCCATGACCGGGAGCCCGACGTGGGATTCGATCCCGAGTCTCCAGGATCGCGCCCTGGGCCAAAGGTAGGCGCCAAACCGCTGCGCCACCCAGGGATCCCGGTTTTCAAGTTTATATAGCTGTATTATTATGAAACAAAATCATAAGACAAAAAAGTCTGGGGATGGGGCACCTGGGTGGCTCAGTTGGTTAAACTCCTGACTCTTGATTTTGGCTCAGGTCATGATCTCAGGGTCATGAGATGGAGCCCAGTGTCAGGTCCTGAGCTGGGCTTGGAGCCTGCTTAAGATTCTCTCTCCCTTTCTCCCTTTGTCACCTCCTGCCTCCTGCCTCCTGGGAATGCACACTTTCTCTAAAAGAAAAAAAAAAAGACTAGAGAGCTTTGATCTAGAGAACTGTTCATTAATTACTATTTCCCCCCCTATCTATAACACTGTGATCTGGAAAATTGTTTTTAAAAGCCTAAACATGTTTTTTTTTTTTTTTAAGATTTTCTTTATTTATTCATGAGAGACACAGAAAGAGAGGCAGAAACTTAGGCAGAGGGAGAAGCAGGATCCCTGTGGGGAGCCTGATATGGGACGCGATCCCAAGATCCTGGGATCACGACATGAGCCAAAGGCAGACTCTCAACCATTGAGCCACCCAGGTGCCCCAAAAAGCTAAACAGTCTTAATGTTTATCACATGAATTAGTCTGTTCAAAGAAATCTGTTAGTCCCAAACTCTTTCCCTTTACAAAATCCTCCCACCTTTTTACCATGAGAATATACTTAATAAGATATAATTTTCCTGAACTTGCCAGATAATTTCCACTCAAGCAATATACCTGTTCTGTGGCACAGTGATCATGTTTCATATCCAACTGTTTTACCAACTAGAATGGTTAGTGCTATTGTATTTTGGTTTGTCCTTACATCCAGGAAATCCTGTATATTTATTGCTGTTTACTTTATTCCAAGGCTTAAGACTATATCCCTAACCTCACAAGGCAAATACATGCCAACTATCATACAAGAAATAGGAAATTTGGGTGACTTGGTTCAAAATCCTCACCATAATGGGAAGAAAATAAAATACTTCAAGGTACAGAGGCACCTGAGTGGTTTAGTTGGTTAAGTATCTCTCTTTTTTTAAAAAAGATTTTATTTATTCATGAGAGGCAGAGAGAGATGCAGAGACATAGGCAGAGGGAGAAGCAGGCTCCATGTGGGGAGTCCCATGTGAGACTCAATCCCAGGATTCTGGTATCACACCCTGAGTCAAAGGCAGACACTCAACTAGTGAGCCACCCAGGTGCCCTAAGCATCTGACTCTTGATCAGGTCACGATCTCAAGGTTTTGAGATCAAGCCCCGCACCCAAGCTGCAAGTCAGGCTCCACACTGGGCATGGAGCCTGCTTAAGATTTTCTCTCTCCTGGAGCACCTGGGTGGCTTGTGGTTGAGGGTCTGCCTTCGACTCAGGTCATGATCCTGCCTCTGTCTCTGCCTCTGTATGTCTCTCATGAGTAAATAAAATCTTAAAAAAACAATTATCTCCCTTTCCCTCCATCTCCTTCCCCTCCACACATGTACATACACACACACACACACTCTCTCTCTCTCTCTCAAAAAATAAATACTTCAAAATATATAGTATACTGTAGTATGTCAATGATATCAAGTATATATTTAAATATCTTTGACCCTATTGCATTAAAAGACTTATTTTATTTTTTTTATTTTTTAAAGATTTATTCATGAGAGAGAGAGAGAGAGGCAGAGACAGAAGCAGGCTCCCTCAGGCAGAGGGAGAAGCAGGCTCTGTGTAGGGAGCCCCATGTGGGACTCAATCCCAGGTCTCCAGGATCATGCCCCCCGATTATAGGCGGCGCTAAACCCCTGAGCCACCTGGGCTGCCCTAAAAGACTATTTTATTTTATTTTTATAATTTTTATTTATTTATGATAGTCACACACACACAGAGAGAGAGAGGCAGAGACACAGGCAGAGGGAGAAGCAGGCTCCATGCACCGGGAGCCCAATGTGGGACTCGATCCCGGGTCTCCAGGATCGCGCCCTGGGCCAAAGGCAGGCGCCAAACTGCTGCGCCACCCAGGGATCCCCAAAAGACTATTTTAAGGTGGGAAAATTCCCCAAAACAGTGAAGATGAAACAAGGAAGTGAGTACTTCTACTGTCCTCTTCATCATTTCTAAGCAGTTTGAGATGATAATCAAATGAGCTCACTGATTTTCCAGATGTTCTTTTGCTTTTAATACATTTCATGTAATTTAGGAATTATTTTATTTTATTTTTTAAAGACTTTATTTATTTATAGAGACACACAGAGAGAGAGGCAGAGACACAAGCAGGCTCCATGCAGGGACCCTGACGTGGGACTCGACCCCGGGTCTCCAGGATCACGCCCTGGGCCGCAGGCAGCGCCAAACCGCTGTGCCACCAGGGCTGCCCTCGGAATGATTTTAGAATCTTTTACTCTTTAAGTCATTTTTTTGGCTCATCTACTATTTTGTATATAACTTTACATACTTTGTGAGCTTTCTTATTTGTACTTAATCTTTAATATACTTGTAAAAAATGTAAATGTTGCATCATTCACTGATAGGCACCAAAATCGCGAATACAAAAGGCTAATTTAGGGATCCCTGGGTGGTGCAGTGGTTTAGCGCCTGCCTTTGGCCCAGGGCGCGATCCTGGAGATCCGGGATCGAATCCCACGTCGGGCTCCCAGTGCATGGAGCCTGCTTCTCCCTCTGCCTGTGTCTCTGCCTCTCTCTCTCTCACTGTATGCCTATCATAAATAAATAAAAAAGTTTAAAAAAAGGCTAATTTAAACAACTATTAAACTGACACAAGAAATATAACTGGTCTTCACATCTTCCATTTCCTGTGAGTCTATTATACTCTTAAGACACTTAGAGTACTAAGTGTCTATAAGTACTACTTTATATCTACCACACTCTTGAGAGCCCTCCAAATGTTTCGAGGTCTTAGCAGTTGCACAAATCCTACTCCAGGAGACCTAATATAATTGTCCCTATCACAATTCAAGTAACATTCAGGGATGCCTGGATAGCTCAGTGGTTGAACGTCTGTCTTTGGCTCAGGTCATGATCCTGGGGTCCTGGCACCAAGTCCCGCATCATGCTCCTCACAGAGAGCCTGCTACTCCCTCTGTCTATGTCTCTGCCTGTCTCTCTGTGTCTCACATGAATAAATAAAATCTTAAAAAAAATAACATTCAAGAAAAGAAATGGCCAATTTATAGGAAAAATGACTCCTAGTCACTTCCTTTTTCATTCAATGTCAGTTCTCACCTATTTCAACCATCAGTACAATCGTATTCAAAAAGATGAGAAAGATGATGAAGTTTGTGAAGAGAGGACCTGTTTTCTCTTAAGGAAACATACGGAGTGGAGTTGTTTCTTATACAGGTGAAATAATAAAGGCAAGAATAGAACCAGCAAGGATAAGAAAAAAAGTGGAGTTTGGAAGAGGGGAAATAAGTCATCAGGCAGAGGATGAAGCAAGAGAAACAGGAAAGGCATGGGATAAAAATGAGCGGCATGAAAGGATACACTCAAGGACCCATCCAGCCCACAAAGAAAGGGGTGGTCTCTGACTACAGCGCACTCGAAGCCTGCTCATCAGTCTCCGGGCACGTGTAATTCGTTCTACATGTCGAGGCTTTATGGAGAAGCGCACAAGCTGGTGTTGATCTCCCAACATAAGCTTCTTCTGGCCAGAAGGATCTACACCAAAAATTAAAAGAGGACAGTGGAGATAACACACACACACACACACACACACACACACACACACACACAAAGAAAAAGTCTCTAGGGAATATGAAGAACAGGCAGCCAGGGGCAGGGGTACTGGTTACATAATGGGTTCCCTAGTGCAAAATTTGCCTTGCTGTTCTTTCTCACAGCAATTAACATTAGTTTGGAATAAGAGCTAATATATCACTTATGACCAACACTGTCAACACCCAAGAATAAAGGCAGCAGTTTCAACTCTGAAAGTTTTCAGTGTCTTTCGTAGAAACTTTCAACTCAGCCAGGACTAGGAGTCATCCTAGGCCAAAAAGCGAGCGACTTTTACTTGGGTTCTTCTATCTCCTGGGTTCAAAGAGCTTTATTTACAAAGTCTTATCAGGTTTGATGTCATTTACAAACCTAGCAACCAAGCCAATCTTCCCTGAATTTTTCACCCTTAAAATAGTTTCTCTGCTTTACTCTTTGGAGGGTGCAGAGAAGAATCTTAAATTTACGCTAGTTATGAAACAGGCTGCTGACCAACTATCTCTCGGATAGTGTGTCTTGGCACAGCTTGGCTCAAGCCTTGCAGATGCTCGATGAGAGAGAAAGTATCAATGAGACGTGAACGAATGGCATCAGCTCGGGGCAGTTGCACGTGTCCTGTTGGGTGACTGGTGGCCATGTCTGTTAAAATAATGGGAAAACCAAGTGTCATTTCATTCTTGGAGTGCACCAAAGATTGGAGGTTTACTTCCCCTTCTCCTACCCTCTTTGCCCTTAAGAAGTCAAACACATTTTTTTACCAAGACTCGAGGTGGGGTTTTTTTTTTTTTTTTTTTTTTTTTTTTTTTTTTTTTTTTGCTTTGGTTTGGTTTTTTTTGAGAAACAAAAGGAGCTAAGAGTCGTAAAAGAGACCTTGCTTAGTAGACTAAGTGACCAGGCACCTTCACGTGTATGACAGCATTTCTAATTAAAAGTAGCAGCCACAAGGCAGGAGTCCCTGGGCTGGACAAAGAGCCGCACCTGGACCTGAGGTAATCAGGCAACGCAGTGAGGAGGGGCAGTGGGAGGGCTTCGGGCTGCGTCGGAAAGACGAACCAAGAGGAATTGGACAAATGCAGCAGCCTGACATTTTGAAAACGTGTCCCGTCCTAACTGCGTCCCTCGGGTGCAGGCTCCACTCGCGCTTCTGGGCCTCACCTCAGCCCAAGCTCTGTTCCGCCCACTCAGCCCCGACTTCGCTTCTCCGCCTCCGACTCTGGCGACCCCCGAACTCAGCTCTCCCCACGGAAGACGAGCTCAGAGCGGGCCCCCAGCTCGGCTCCACCTCAGTCCACCTCAGAGCGGGCCCCCAGCTCGGCTCCACCTCAGTCCACCTCAGAGCGGGCCCCCAGCTCGGCTCCACCTCAGTCCACCTCAGAGCGGGCCCCCAGCTCGGCTCCACCTCAGTCCACCTCAGAGCCGGCTCCACCTCAGGCCACCTCACTTGCTCCCTGGGTTCCGGCTCGCCGCGGGCCCGGCCCGGCCCGGCCCCAGCACCAGCCCCAGCCCCGGCCCCGGCCCCGGCCCCCGGCCCGGGACCCCCTCCCGACCGGCTCGCCCGGGCGCCCGCCGCTTCGGCCCCGCCCCACGCCCCGGCCACTCGGCGGTTACCAGCTGGGCCCGCCCGCCCGACGCAGGCGCCTCGCAGCCAATCGGCGGCTGCCACACTGCGGCCGGAGCCGGGCTGGGGGGTTGGGACCTCCGGCTGCAGGTCCGCCTGGGCCAGACGCGCGAGCGCAGGCACAGGGTGCGTGGTCGCGGCCGGCCTTCGCAGTCCCCGCCGAGCCCCGACCCTCCCGGCCGCCCCCAACCTCACCTCGTAGCCATGCGCCCCCGCTGCCGAGCGCTGCTCCCGGGCGTGGCGCTGCTTTTCGCCGCGGCCGGTCTCGCCTCTGCCTCCGACGTGCTGGAACTCACTGACGACAACTTCGAGAGTCGCATCTCCGACACGGGCTCTGCGGGCCTCATGCTCGTCGAGTTCTTCGCTCCCTGGTGAGGCCCCTGAGCCGGGGCGCGGGAGGGAAGGCGGGAGGGCTGCGCCGGGGGCGAAGGCGCGGGAACGGTTGGGCCTACGCGGCGCCGGCGCCCTGCACCATTCCAGCAGGCCCCGCTGCAGCCGGCAGATTTCCCACCCCCGGGGGGCCGAGCTGCCTCACGGAGAGCGGAGAAGTCGGTGCTCACGGCCTAGGAGCGAGGCCCGGGAAGAAAACCCGAAGGCCCCGCTCGCGCAGGGCCCCAGCCTTACCTCAGTCCTCTTGCGGCACTTCCTATTTGCCGAGGGTTTAACCACCCCCTACCCCGCTCAGATCCGTATCATTACAGTTTCTGGCCGAGTCAGTGTTCATGCTCTCCGTCCTACAAACGAGGCATCCCCAGGCCTTATATTGGAAACGAACGTCTCACCACCAAGCGCACAGGCCCTGGCCCCCCAGAGGACTTCCTTTCTTCTTGCCCCACGCCCCGCAGCCCTTGGTTTCTAGCCAAGGTCACCCAGTGGCTGCGGAATGGTCATAAGTGCTTTATTGAGGCAGGCAATTATTTTTGTCCCATCGCATGCTGCACACTTTCTCCACTAAGCTGATCACATTTCAGCACCAGCAGAATCCCGTCAAAAAGAGTAGGTGAAACGAGTAATTCCGTCAGAATCCGTCTAAAATGTCAGTTTTAATTAGGGTTTCGGAAGAATGCCCAAAAAGACTCCAGGGAGAAATAGTCCACTTCAGAGTGGTATAGGTGAACAAGAGTGTCAGTTCCTTAGAACAACAACTAACTCAAAAAGTTGAGGGTGAGAGGAGAAAGCAAACAGGATATTTGGCTCAGTAGACCTGAATGGGTGTTTTTGTTTTTGTTTTTAAAACTCCCAAATCTTTACCACAGAGAGCCATGATTATTTTAAGGCTTGGGATGGCTGAATATATTCATGCTAATTACAGTACTTGATTTTTTTCCTCCTGCCACAATACCTTTCATTAAAAAACGATTTGTAGGGGATCCCTGGGTGGCGCAGCGGTTTGGCGCCTGCCTTTGGCCCAGGGTTGGATCCTGGAGACCCGGGATCGAATCCCACGTCGGGCTCCCGCCGCATGGAGCCTGCTTCTCCCTCTGCCTGTGTCTTTGCCTCTCTCTCTCTCTCTCTCTCATTGTGTGCCTATCATAAATAAAATAAAAAATCTGTCTTTAAAAAAAAAAACTATTTGTATTCAAAAGTATCAGTAAAACAAAGTTGGTATATAACTTTTGCTTGCTTCTGACTCTAGTCTTCACTCAGCAAGGGCTCAGCAGACTTGCTGGGGGTAATACTAGAAGTCCAGTAATGAAAACCACCTGAACCAGAAAGATGTGCTAAGAGGCAAGAAATTTTGTTTACAGCTTGTGACAGATTTTGTGTGCAGGGCATTCCTGTGGCCAACTGGTAGTACCGATTACATATCATAGGTGGTCTTTCATTATACATCTCCAGAAGTCACGTTCTCCCTTAGAAACTCTTCTTAATCATATATATGACCTTGCTGTTAACTTTGGAGGGGTATAACTGTACTTAGAGTGGCTGGATGGGGTTGTATCAAAACTGAATGGTGCTTCTGTGACTACAGGGGTCCACATAAAGTGAATTCCTGGAGACTAATGGGCTATTAAACCATTAGTTTAAAGCAGATTAAAACAATTTTTTTTTTTGGATTTTTTTTTTTATTCATGAGAGGCACAGAGAGGCAGAGACCTATCAGAGAGAGAAGCCAACTCCCTATGGGGAGCCTGATTGGGAACTCAATCCCAAGACCCTGGGATCATGATCTGAGCCAAAGGCAGAGGCTCAACCACTGAGCCACCCAGGTGCCCCAGATTTTTAAATTTTTTTGATTGAAAGTGTTCTTTCCTACTTTAAATTGTTGCATGTGCTTCCCTAAAAACTGCATATCCCGTCATGCACTAAACTATCCCCAAAATTGGGTGGGTCCCTGCTGTGGTGTCTGCTTTTAATTGGTCTAGAAGGTAAGATCATCCAGCACAATGCCGGCAAGCAGGATCAGTTTTCTGAGTGACTAATTTGGAATCAAGGAAGTCTCCTATTGATAATGTCCTTATTTCTTCAGCTAGAAATGTTTTTTGACTGCTGTAATCCTTTGTACAGATCAGAACTAGCTCACAAGTTAGGTAGGAATGGCTAAAGAATCCTAATGAAAGCAAATTAACCTATTTTGAGCAAGTTCTTCATCTCATTTCTTTTTGGATATTTTTTGCACTTTGATTTCATAATGAAAGTGAAAGATTTCTTTGCAGCTGTCTTTGTAGACTCATATTTCCATTATGGAGTTAATCATCTATGTAATTGGGGATCCCAGGGTGGCTTAGCGGTTTAGCGCCAGCCTTCAGCCCAGGGAGTGATCCTGGAGTCCCGGGATCGAGTCCCACATCGGGCTCCTTGCATGGAGCCTGCTACTCCCTCTGCCTGTGTCTCTGCCTCTCTCTCTATGTGTCTCTCTTGAATAAATAAATTAAATCTTTTTTTTTTTAAATCATCTATGTAATTTGTAAGAATGAGAGTATCTGAATTTCTCTGGAGGAATAAATAGCACTATTTAAATGTGATAATATCTGAAAATTTATTGATCAGTACTAAAGTTTTAAGTCTACAACATCTACTTATGTTGTAGGTTTGTGCTCTACCCTCTAGGACAGTAGTATTAAAATAATATGTGATACACAATACTTCTGGAGTGTATATTAGAAAAAGAATGTGTGGCTAGTATAAAATGGAATATTTCTTTTTATACATGCTGATTCCTTTACTTGGAATTCCTGATGTTTCCTCCCACCCCAAATTGACCTTTTCAACAAGATTGAGCTCAAAAGTTACTTCTTCCTTGGACACCTAACTGGTTGCTCCCATCTCTCTATTGGGACCTAATAATATTGTCTGTCACCCCTGCCAGACTGGTGTTCCTATAGGGAAAGGACTACATCAGTTTTTCTGTCAGAGGCATTCATCCCATGAAGTAATAATTTTTGAGTGAAGATATGTTGGGATTCATTATTAACTGTTAGGTGCCATCCTTGAAGGTGATGCGATTGTGTTTTAAAACTATCTAGGACCGGGCAGCCCCGGTGGCTCAGCAGTTTAGCGCCTGCCTTCAGCCCAGGGTGTGATCCTGGAGACCTGGGATCGAGTCCCATGTCGGGCTCCCTGCATGGAGCCTGCTTCTCCCTCTGCCTGTGTCTCTGCCTCTCTCTCTCTCTCTCATGAATAAATAAATAAAATCTTAAAAAAAAAAAACATTAAAAATAAATAAATAAATAAAACTATCTAGGACCAAGTGAAAGAAGTAGTGATTAATCTTGATGTTCACTTTCAAATTCCACCTGAGTTCATTCCTGGTGAATTTGAAGAAGGTAGTCTCCTCCAGTCTCTTTGGAACTCCTGAAACAGGCCCTTCCTTTGAGCATTTCATGACCTTATGAATGCAGCAAATGCTTAGGACAGTGGTTTTCAGTTCCAGCTTTGTTACTTACACACATACATCCCTTAGACCCCTGGTTCCTGGAAGAATTGCTCAGTTAAGTCCCAGGGTGGGGCCCAAACATACACTTTTTTTTTTTTTCTAATGCTCCTTCCACTGATATTTTTTGTATGCATCTGAGTTGACACCTGCTAATTATTGGTCTGGTCTGATTATTTTATACTATTTTTTGTCTTCAAATGTTTTGAGATGGTTGAGGTGAAACTATTCTTAAATCTATTGCCTCAGTCTTGATAATTACATATTCAACAGAAATCTCTCTTCTGTTTCCTTTTTATTCTCATTTCTGTCACTCTGGTCCAAGTTTTCATGATCTGCTGTGTGAAATATATTATCTTCTAGGTGGCTTTTATTTTTATCTCTACTTTCTCTCTTTTATATATATTGCTGACTGATGTAGTCTTTTTCTTTTTTTTAAGATTTTATTTATTCATGAGAGACACACAGAGAGAGAGAGGCAGAGACACAGGCAGAGGGAGAAGCAGGCTCCATGCAGGGAGCCCGACGTGGGACTCGATCCCAGGCCCCTAGGATCATGCCCTGGGCTGAAGGCAGCGCTAAACAGCCACCCGGGCTGCCCTGATGTAGTCTTAATACACATAACACATTTGTTTTAACAACAAAAGAAGCCCTCCATAGTTCTCCAAATGTATCATTTTCACTAGTAATTTTACCTTTGCTCTACTATTCCCCTTATTTCAAATACCCCGGAACAGGTCCTGGCTGAAGCCTTAAATCCTTAAAGGCCTAGATCCAATTCTTATCCTCTGTAATGTGTGTGTGTGTGTGTGTGTGTGTGTGTGTGTGTGTGTGTGTGCGCGCGTGTGCGTGTGTGCGCGCGCGTTAAGATTTTATTTATTCGTCAGAGACACAGGCAGAGAGAGAGGCAGAGACATAGGCAGAGGGAGAAGCAGGCTCCCTGTGGGGAGCCTGATGTGGGATTTGATCCCA